ATCAAGTTTTGTGTTCGGGGTTACATGAGTTTGCACTGTGCGAGTTCAATAATATCGAGGGAAATGAGTAAAAATATGTGGAATGACAGCCTCCGTTTTGGCAAAAAAGAGCCACGATTCCGTTCCGATTAGTATTTTGCTTAATATTGTTGCAAATTTCGCTATATGTATAAACTACTTTGATTATTTTCATTCGACACTCGAAATATCGTTACATTCGTTACCAAAAACCGTGAAAAATAAGTTCTTTCGTGTATGGCTAAAGTATGATTGCTATTAGCTGATGGTTATCAAATATCCAAGTTTACAATTAATATCGATAGAAGACAGTTAAAATGATGAAATAAAAAACTCATCAAAAATTTGTTATGGGCGCGAAATCCTGATGATACAGTACCAGACATCTCGTCAACGTCACAATCACGCTTCAACGATTTATAATGATCTGCTCTCGAGCCAAACAATAGACATATTTTCTCCGACTCTTTTCTTTATATCTGTTGAGTAAACACACGGCTCTTATGCTGATCGTCCATTCGCTCATGGTGTTCCCATTGCGAAATTAAAATAAATTAGGCGATTTTCGATTTATTTTCAATGTTCGTCAATATCGAAATTTAACCTCAGACTTTAGCGATATTCGATTATGAGTAATTAATCACGCAATTGGTAATAGTAGATTGACTTTCATCTGTTTTATGCTTCAGTGAGACCGGGGTAACGTTAGATTCGTCGTTTAGGATTTTCGTCTTTGTTCTGAAATTTGCCCAATAGCCGAGAGTTGCCCATATCAAGTTGTGTACGTGTGCTAGAAAAATGTTCAATTAGTTTAAAATTACTTCATTTGGCATACCAAAATAAGTCAAATGAGAATTAATTATTAAAGCTAAAAGTGAATACAGGCAAACAGGTTATGCAGCACATAATCTAACTGAATCATCAGACTCTTTGTTGGGAATTCAGAAGTTAGATAATCAATATACATGACGTTTATAGATATTTAATTATTTATGTAGGGGGAATCAATACATGGTCGTCAATGTTGATTTCTGCCCCAACTATGGCCACGGTTGCTGAAGCGATTTGACGTTTTGTTTGTTATGCCATGGTTAAATCGATCTGTTCCGAAAAGACCTTATATGTGAAAAAATAGCAGTCATAAAAGTTATAGTAAATATTATTTCCATCTTGTATACGAGATAGTCTGCAACTGGATTTTGTGACTCAGTGTCTAATACTCTGATAGATAAATAAAGAGCACAGCAGTATACTGGTGTTTATTGGCTGAGACATTACCACTTTGGGCACGTTTCCTGACGTCACCCGTGGTTCCTGTAAAACAATAGTAGGAAGAATGAGGCAGCGGAGTGTAACGCGTTATCGTATTTCATTATCGTTTAGTGTTTGACTTCATTTGATACTGGAAGAGAAATGTCTACTCTGGTTACACAACTGGATTAATGGTTTTAATAAATTGTTCAAGAGATTGGGCATAATGTTCATATAAAATCTTAGGTGATTATACAGCGAAACATCTTGGGACAAGCCCAAGTGTCATGCAGCGCCTAGTCATGTGTTCATCGACAATAACGTAAGATAAACAAGTTTTATTTTGACACGTATTTGTTGAATTGTTTCGTAGTATTTGGTACTAGTTCCTTGTTTGTGCGTAGTCTCACTGCAGCAACTCAGTTTGGATTACTTTCGCACTAAGGCTTTATATTTGACAGCAAAAACATCTTGTTACTTACCACGATTGCCAAGAATTCAGTAAATATTGGAATCCCATCAGCGTTACCCGAGCAAACTCAAGTACCGGAGAATAAGAGTGTTTTCATTAACCCTTGTTAGCATATCTCCTGTCGGATTCATTGAATCTGCCATCATTGTGCGTGGGACCGGGGTTCTATAATATCAGTCATATTGAAGGAGAGATTATTATTGCGTGCTACTCCACGTTCTCTATCTTTGGCCAGTCACAGTAATAGAAAAGCAAATTAGTATGATGATACCTTGGCTTATTACTGATATTAAAAATAGGAAAGACTTGAAAGGAGGTAAAATCGTGCAGAGTGGCAGACTTGAATACTTGTGTTTATTCCTATCTTTTGTGAATACAACAAAATCAATCTGGAGGCTGATCTAAAAAGGAGTGTGAAGAGCAATTTTACCAAAAGTTTACAACATACCAAGTATAGACTACCGTGACTATTTTACTTTTACCCAAATAGATTTTTATTTATATATTTTGCATCTCAGTGAGTTTGGTGAGATTTGCTCCTGTCTAGCAGTACGTGAAATGAATAAATAATACCATTTCAGACCGGAGCATGTTATTAGATATCAGAATGAAGGAATACATGAAAGTATAAATGTTGATGTGGCAATTGTGAAATTCTTTAGTTGTTGTTAAAAGCGATCTCATTACAGCCGAACGTGGTAATATGGATCGCCTCTTGATAAAACGATCCATTCTTTGTCGTATGGATTTCGATCTGATGAAAATTACGGCCTTAGCTGTCGCCGATGATTACTTGCCTGTTTTATTTTGCAGTCATTTAAATTATTTATGAGAAATAACAATCTTTGCTTCACATGTCCAATTACTTTCCTATTGATTTTCATGGTCACATAACATTATAGGCAATTTTTCAGGAATATTCGAATACAGTATAGTATTGTACCAAATATTGTGTTTAATATAAAAACATTTGCACAAATTCTGCATAGTGCGGTACAGCGGTATATAACCTATGAGGATCTATTGCCGTTAGCCTATGTGCTATAAATTATTGATAAAACTGCCTTATACTTTGGGCGAATTCGGAAGGTTAAAATATTTTTCGGCTTTTGGAAAAAACTTTTTTTACAATAATTTTAATTAAATTTGTGATTTACTGAACTGACTAGTTCATTCCAGTTGCGGTCAGTCATGACTGGCACGGGTAGAAATGATTAAAATCAAGAGCCTATACACAAGACTTGCTTGTCGTCGACCCTAAAACAGCTACTTGAATTGCGTTGAGCTTGGTATTTGTGCAAAGTCGAAAATGTTGCACTGATGTGTTGTATGTGTGAAATCTTCCAGACACATCGGCATTCAATTTGTAGAGAAGATATATATATATATATATTGCCTTTAATTGAACTATCATTCCCACGGAAGACTAGAAATTTCGAGTAAGTTAATTTAAAATGTATAGTATTTTAGTAATCATATGCCCTTTGGGAGCTATTGTTAGTTCTTGTTTTGCAAGTCAGCAATACTTCATTATTACCATTACTTATTAGTTGCTTATCGATTTCGGATTTTCCGAACTACGCCCTGTGGCTTTATTACATTGGAGTCTGCAAGGAGGGGATTCCTTATACTCGATTGGAATCTTCCTTGTAGGCAACCACTCTGACTAATGATATGTTGCAATATTCTTAGACTTAAAGCATATGACTGTTATTGTCGTCTCCAACCAAAGTTGAGCATACGTCTATGGCTATTATGGTTTTATTTTACTACACCATTCAGATAAGCATTTTAACTAGTTTGATTCGGCGTCATGTTATTGATCTGAATGCTTTGTATTTCATTATATTTCATACTATATTTATTAACTCTTTGCATAACAAAACACCTGCGATGACTCAAGAGTCGATTAATATTTTCAACTGAGTCGGCACATTTACTATGGGTTATGCTGATGTATCATGAACGACTTGTCTAAACTCTAAACCGTCTATCTATTCCTTACGATTTGATTTATTTAGAATATAATGGGTCACTTTGCAAGTTTCAAAAGCGCTGTGTGCCTTTAATATTCCGACGGAGCAACATATATTGTTGCCAAACTAATAAATGTGGCGGGTCAATAAATCTTCTATCGATGTATTGAAATGCCATACATTACTTGTAATGACGTCAACGCCAGATGACAGACGACAAAGCGACCTCTTCTCTCGTGCATAAACAATGGTATAAACAAGCATAATAAAGAACCTTGGTAAAATATAGGACGCAATTTTGCATTGTTGCAATTTACAATTCTTAACAAATTATTTGCAACTGGCGTGAAAAATAGCATCATAGTAACAACTAATGTGTGCAGTTAAGCTTTTTGTTGAACGGTTTGATCCTTGCAGCCCTCAAGTTTCGAAAAGTCTTCCGGTAGCGACTGGATTTTTTATGTTTAAAATTAAATTTATCGCATCGATGAATAAGATACATATCGAAGAAATAGCTAGGAATGTGCGTGTTGTTAATCAAATTTACATTGTTTCCAAGGTCACAAGAGCTTTACGATTTACTTTGGCAAAGCCAAGCGTCAATAAAACGTTTACGACGGCAATCTCACAGGGTTCCATTACATTTGAACCCACGTACATTTGAACCCACGACAATTGCACCAGCATACTATTGCACCTATGGAATTTTTTTTTGTATTACGGATATTTGAACCCATACTAAACCTAACCCATTGGTTTTAGCACCCGCATAGTGATTGAACCCGCAGATATACACATGGGTTCAAACGTACGGTCACCTCTCACAGTGTTGTGAAACTGTCGTTATACGTAGACTAGGCTCGACCGGGGAAGGGGAATTCTGTTATGGAGGAAAAAGTATGCAACGAAATCCCATCAAAATCAATTTTGCGCCTAGCATTATGCTCCCCCCTCCAACTGCTGGGAACACTGTTTCAGATTGATTTTTTGTTTTACCACCTGTGCGGCAAAGCTAGATATATTTCTGAATTACCTCTCAGTACAGGCACATATACAGGCTATATGATATAACCCTATGAAACGCAAGTCTCACGAAACCTTTTCAACTTTTATTAACCCAATTAGTATAATTTATTCAAGAAAGGAAATGTATCCCTCGGTTATGAACGGCCTTACTAATACTATATTACCAAGTAAGTAGTAATAGTTTCTGTGTAATGTAGGTAATAATTTACTGACGCTTAATTGGAATTTTTGCTTTGTCTCATGTATAGTTATTGAAACAGGTAAAATTTCGTGGAGAACTTACGCCACGAATAGAAAAAGATATTCACTGTTGCCTCGCCGTTATTCAGTCATTGAAAGACTTTCTGTGCTCATTTTCAGTATGGCGGAGAATATTTAACGTACTATTTTAAAGGTATGTGTAACATTAATTAGTACACCTCTGGGAAATTACGCTGCAAAAACTGAATGGAATAGATTATAAGGGAAGAAAAGTAGCAGTATTATTGGAGTGGAGTATTATACACAAACCATGTCATTTTCATTGGAAATGCTCACCAAAGCAGCGGACTTGGTAGAAACGCAAGAAAAACAAAAGAGATTATTGGAATCACCAAACCCGTTGTCTGAAACAAGAAAACCATCAAGTAACATAAGCGAAACAAATTCGGAAGACATTGGACGTAACGGTACAAAAGAAAGAACAATAAACGGAACAGGAGGTAAAAATTATGTTTTTGCTTATTGTGCAGGTGGTTGAAATGAATGTACGTTTGTAGAAAATTGAGTCAGTACTTACGAACTACTTATAATTCAGGGAGTTAAAACAACCTATTTAAATATATCCTCACAATACAGGTAGGCTCGTTAATTGTCAGTTACTAGAACTGTTACTCTATTATCGTTTCTGAATTTTTTATCTATATGCGGTAAGTCAGCAGAAATACGTTGTATGGCAGCGTTTCTGGTTCATATGCATAATTCAACCTCTGAAGGTGACACATACCAAACATCTTATTAATCTAATCCGAGACTTATTATCGCATAACCACATTTCTCATAGTTTCAGTATTTCTTGTGCAATGTTGCTAGAAGAAAATTTTTAATTAGATTTTATAAGCAAAACATCCAATAATTATCGCTGTTAATATGGTATTTGAAATGTCAATTCTCCCATCATCGCAAACATATTTTAATCGAATTCCCAAATGGGTTGATGAGTGAGCTTAGCTGGTTCGATCTACCTTTAATTAACGCCGAGACAACCACGTTCCGTTCTGTTTATTCGTTTGTTTAATGACATCTTTTAGTAGTTGTTAAAGAATTCCTCTTAGCATACTGAAAATATGAGACAACGTAAGGAATAATAGCCAATGTAGTAAAGTAATACGTACATATATATATATAAATATGCGTTGTAATACAATTTATATACCGATAACCCACAACTGAAAAATGAATTAAATTTGAAATTCAGACATTATAGAAAAATTGGAGTATTTAACCGAATTTGTGTCTTGTTATCGCCCCTGAGTTGCAAAATTGTCAAACTGTGCCATGGAGTCATGAAAATATAATGATAAAAATATCAAAAATACATTGTAAAACTTGTATGAGACAAAACAACTTGTTGGGGGTATACTTTAATTATTTAAAGTTGTGTATTAAGTAAAGCTTGTCTAAGAAGATAATTGACTGAAATGGTTGTTGACATCAGGTAACTTTTGTCTATTTTCTTTTTTAATTTTATAACTGACAGAATCAACCGAACGCTAATATATTCTTAGCGAAGGCGGTACAGCCAGATCTCAACTGGTTTCTATCTCACCGATGATTTGCACGATTAAGTTTGCTTCTTGTCCTCCTGGAATACTGTATAGATATCAATCCCTAATTTGGCTTCAAAAATTTGACTCGGTTTACTGGCGGGTAACATAATATTACGATGCCGTTGCGGGTTTAAGGAGATGGACATGTTATGCCAAATATGCGCGTGTACCGGTCTCACTTATTCTGATTGCCAACGGTAGCAAGCACGAGTATTGAAGCGTATTACTTACTGACGATTACTATTGCTGAGTTGGTAATTTGGAAAGTGTACCTTTTGAAATTGTATTTTTTCCCAAACTTTTTTTCTTTAAAATGGATTCAGTTATTTATTTTTATTGTGATATTAATGCTAAAATTTATCACGTTTTACACGAAACATGTGTCTGGTAAATATAATTTAAAAATAATTCAATTTAGACATGTACAGCCCGAAATTGTTGTGAATTTTCAATAAATATTTAGGAAAATCTGGAACAAGTTCGCTGCAAAGTTTTTTAGTACATTGTAAATACAACTTGCTTCATCACTGATGCTTATTCTCAGTTCTTTAAAAAAGAGAAACAATGCCATTTATTGAATGATATCGCCAGTTCATTTACATTGCTTTAGTCGCCTGGGTATTTATTTAGCCTAAAGCAGGCCTGCCCAACCTTTTTCGTCTCGCGGGCCACTTTCACGTGACGAAATTCGTGGCGGGCCGCAAACGTTTGTACCAAACATTAATACCAGCTAAGTCTTGATTTCGGTGTAGGTGATTTACATAATACATAAAAGACAAGTTTACTACATAAAATCAATCATTTTAATAATTGCTTTCTGGTTATTGAGTAGGGCTGGCAAGTTATTTGAATATCCAGTCGAATATTAGAATAGCACACGTCACGTCGAAATTGAGTGTTATATTTGCGTTATAGGTAGTGTTTTTATTCATTCATGTTCTGTGGCTATGATAATGCCTCAATGTTTAAATGAGCATAATGTACGCCAATGTCGCGGGAATATCAAGCTTAGGTGGGTCGTCTCGTAAAATTTGAAACCAATACTGTACAAGTATTTAATGAAGTAACATTACAAAGATTTCTGGACAATTAGCCTATATATACTGATTTGTGACCAATATGCTGCAATACCATTAAGTCAATTTCATCAGAATTAATGACGGACACGCAGTGACGACAGTTCCGAAAAAAAACATAAAAAAACAACCAGTACCAAAGATATTGTTGACTTTTTATTTTACGTGGGCGATAAAGACGGTCAAAGCAGACACGTAAGGAAACAATCAGAATGAAATTAATTTGCAAAGTTACGTTCCAAATTCAGTCCTATAATTGCGCTCAGCGTTCGTCTTCAATGATCGTACAATATCTTTCTAGTTCGTCAAACAAAACGCTCAGTTCTGCGAGAAATAAAATAAAACCGTTGTCGATATCCACCAGGGTGCAAGACTTGACACATACGTAATAATAAAAAACCGGCATTTGAATGTAGATAGATGGCAGGAATAATTACACCAAAATCACCAAACATACTCAAGCCTATATATTGATTTATAACATAGTGAAAATTTAACAAGTCTGCTTACAAACTTTATAGGGCGGGCCGCAAAAAACAGTCCGGCGGGCCGCATGCGGCCCGCGGGCTGGGCAGCCTTGGCCTAAAGTAATCTTTCTTGGGCATGGATTTGGATGTACATTCAGTCTGCTTTAACAGACTCAAGCAATTATTTTCTATTTAATCTTACATTTTCCTCCCAATGTGAGAAGCAATATAAAGAGGTATCAGCAAATACATAAGAAATGCCACGCAGATTTTTCAAAGATGGTGCTTAGCTCCACCGGCGTAGGTCAGTTCTCTTCAACAGTTCAGTTAGAATTTTCATCACTCAGTTAAACTATATGCGCATTTTGACCTAATTTTCATTATATAAGTTTGGCACATCTCGTTTTTATCATAACTATCTAGTTTTCATTCTTCATTAATGACTCTTTGGATGAGTTATTTGCAATATAATTGGTGATTATTTTGTATATTGACATTTCAATAGAGATTTCGATTGGGGGGATATGTGATTGAGGTAAAAAGTAAAAAAAAATATATTAAAATTGTTATTGTAATTCTAATTCAGCTGTCTAGCGTTTTTATTTTATGATACCTCATACTAGGGCATAGCTGCTTTCAAATTTATTCTTAACAACAGTGACTGCAAGCTTTAAGGTCACTTTTAATCCCTTGCTGATTGGTGACATAATATTTAGAAAACATTTTCACTTCTGTATGTGAACTAAACCCCAGAATTGAAAAATTGTATATACATGTATATATTTTGGAGCTGGCATTAAGTCTTATTATGGTGAAATGGTGAAAACTTAAATTTTGCTCGTCCCAAATTTTGATCATCCCACATAGCTAAATAAATAAAATGCTTATGCCAATTCACTCAATCTTTCTAGGCATTGCCTCCTCATAGATTGCCTCGTAGTAAGTCGCACCATTGCCATCCAGCTGCTTGCTTATGTGGACAAATAAGCTACATTTAATGAATGTATATTTATAATACACTTATTGGTTGCATTGCTTCACCGCTGCAGTATATTATTGTGCTAGAGATAGATGACACATGATGAAATCCTCAGAACGAGCAAAATTCAATTTCAAAATCGTTATTGGGCGTTCTGTAACGGACCAATGCACGCTGGGCTTGTTGACGCCGGATAAGTGCTCCAGTATGCTTCGGATCATTGGGTTTCTATACGGCGCATTATCGTTGATAAATTTCTGCCTTGTTTTGAAGCATGCGCCCGCGTGTCACTTAGTAGCTGCCTCGCAATTCACTCAGTTAGGTACATGCATGAAAATTCTATATCCATAAGCAATTTTCAATTTGTACTAAAATGAAAGAAGGACTGGTCATATTCCTAAAAGGTCAAGTTGCAATGCTGTTTTGTTAAAAGGGCAGGCAATGACAAGGACGGGGCAATCATTCCAATACCTTTTCTCTATTTATCTTTTCCAGTGGTTGTACTTTCTCAATTACGTCATTCGATTCAAATTTCCAACTACTTTGCATTAAACGTCGAAAATGGGCATAGAAGATCACATATGTAGCACAGATGGTTATTGTAGTACTGCATTACGATCGTGATTGCTCTGTATTGTTTAATGCCATTCATTTAAATGTCTTTCTTAATAGCAAATACCACAAAGATACTGTAATGTAAAATACTGCTACTTATGAAAGCAAATACCGGTTTAATGAGTAACCGAAATATTGAAAAACGTTCTTGCGTGAATTGTTTGATTTTTTTTCAAAAGCTATCGATTGGTTTTCGTCCCGGCTATATTGCAATGTGAAACTTGGTATTTTGTAAACACATACAGTTACAGAAGTATTATTTGTTCGCGTTAAAAACCAACCTCCTCGCAAACTCAAATTGACGTTTCAGTTGCCAAAATTATATTGCGTCCCTGAATACGTTCTTGTTTATAATTTTGCTGTTTCGCCAGTAAATTATTATAAAACCCTCTGTTAACCAAGCTACTCATTTATTGGTGAACTAGTTAATGCCATGGTCATATTTGGAGCAAGGGTCGCCTAATACAGGCAGGGTCGGAAGACCTGCTAATTTGGGTCACGGGAATACACTTACATGGTGAGTAAGACTTGATAAAAATTATATTCGATTGAATTTTGTTGACCTGTTAATAGTTTTCGATTTGCCAGTTGAGTATGGAGAAAGGACAAATCTGTTCAATGTGGCACGCCATAGGCTTGAACGTGGCAAGCGAACGGTTTAGTAAAAAGTGATTCTTGTATTTATAATAAATTCTAACAGCTCACGTTTATATCCAAATTATCTTAAATCACCACGTTCATTTACACAATGCAAGCTAGTAGCTAAAATGAATGAGTAGGCTAACCTACAGCAGCGAGCGGTTAAGTAGATAAAACGCGATAAATCTATTTAGCGTAGATCACAATCGCGTTTGTGTCGTAGTAATTTTAAATCAGCAAGTTTATTCACACATATCTAACTCCAAGTTCCATCAGAAACTAACAAGTAGTGTTAATGTCTCATTTAACCACAATTTGTTAATCTCTTTGCATTCTCCTGTCGTCATGAATGTTATAGGCTACCATTCGCTTTCTTAAGACTTAGTAGTAATACTATAACTAAAAAGTTTATATTGTGTTATGTCAATTTGTAAGCACGTACAGTTGTTAAGAGGCATTCTCAATCAGGAAAATAAATGAAGCTCATCAACGGACTCGGAAGGTTAACAGACGAACATTTGGATTCAGTAATGCAAATCGCTGTTTCGCCATTTAAAACCAACATTTCACTTTTGGTCTATCAAAAACTTCTTCAAAGCAATAGTTTTTCAGGACAATAATTTTTTTCAGTAAATAGTTATTCGTTATTTTGTGTTTTATTGAATCTTGTTGTTATTTGTTTTACTGAATTCGTTTACAACACAATCTCAAACGTGAGGTGACAGGCGACAAGATTATTTTGAAAACTCCACCACTTGTCATTTGAGTTGTGCGGCCCTGCGGTAAACGATTTGACTGCTGGTATAATTTCCATTGTTGCGCAACAGACTTCATTTGCGACTGCAAATTGCGCCGAGATATATATCATGCGCTATCGACATCGTCCATATTTTTGGGTTCGTAATCCATGTAGCATTTGTAGATCTTTATCATATAATGTTACTCGTGTATTGGCAAACACTTTCCTCTAGTATAGGATAATAATGTAGGAACCACGAAAATTTCGTCCACGATTTTCCGTGGAGGTGATTTTGTTGATACAAATTTCCTACAAAGTTTTTCAAGAAAAAAAAAATGAGATACAATTCGTAACAGTCTGTCAGTGTTTCCCTCCGTGGAATAAGTATAGTGAAACGAAAAGGGCTAGTAAATGTAATAATTATTGAGTGTGATTATTACGTCAAGTTAACATAAAGAAAAGATATTGCGACAACTGATAAAAAATGTAATAAACGGCGTGATTAGCTTTTGAGTATACCACCCTGTGATTTTTTCGCAACTTTTAGCTAAAATAAATTTGGAACAAAACTACTTTTATGGTCGGCAGACGCTGAAATTATTTTTTGAGCTCACGACGAAAAGTAATTGCAGACCCTTGTGTTAGAGAGCCGCTTTCAGTTACATATTACCCGAACAATTCCAATTCTTATCCGGGTACTTTTATTTTTCTGAAATCCTTTAAGTGGCATGTAAGAAGTTACTGAAGATTTACATTCAGTAATTACCAGTTTTAGTATGCTAATAACTTGTCGACTCGTGTAATCCATGCTTATCAAAATGAGCTCAAATGGAAGGTTGAGTTCATAATTTAGCTGCAGAATTTCAAAGTTAATGAAAGAATGGCAAAACTGTCTTGTAATAACGATATCATGTTGTTTTACGTAAAGTTTTGCATATCGTGCGATATATAATATCCTAAAAATACATTTATTAAATTAAACATGATTTCATTACCTTGCAGAGAAGTTTGTTGTGGAATGCTTCCTTGCAAAAAAAAATGTCGCCAATATCATATAAATTAACCTAGTCCAATATACTGGTGGATATTACAATTATAAATTATATTTTCTAAAATACTGATTATACATAATAAAAATACGATGTTATGTAGCAGAAGCAAATTTAATTACTGATTGAAATTACTGCCACATTCTGTATTTGACTGTGCATGTTATCCCCTACACGATATACTGATTACGCGTCAATTACCATTCTAACGTCTTTCTTTTTTATAACAGAAAATCACCACCAAGGACACATGTTACAAAACGGAAGACTACATGACAATACAAAGCATTCTCCTGGTACTGGCAGCAATTTAACGAAAACTGTTAATAACCATGACAGGCATGCGAGCGAAGGTCAGCAATTTTTTTTCTCTTCAAAGTGTTTAGTTATTATTAGGAAAACACTAAAATGTGAGTATGGTAATGACTAGTGGCATGTGTGGATTTCAGGGAAGTTCAGAGGAAAAGTATGTTGAACAGACGGCTGTGGAAAGAAAACTCTGCCCTACTTATTACTCGCCAGTTTTCGTACGAACAAGCTTATTTAAGAGCGCTGAGTTAAAATTGTATTTGGGCAGAATAGAACAACAACAGTTGTCTCAGGCCACACTGTCAACATGGTTTGCGTTCAATTTTGCTAACGTTTGCGTTTACAAAAGTTCACATCAATTCTTAAGATAATCCACAACCGCATTACCTCCAACATTATCCAAGGCAATTTGTTAATTACTTAGTGTACGTAGGCATGTTATGTTGCGTTTTCAAAACCGTTAGTGGGCCATGGAAAATTTTTTCAATGTGTTTAGTTTTCCATAAACAATTTTTGGAATGAAGTCTCATGTGCATTTCTTGCCCAATTCCGACGTAGAGGAAACAGCACTGTTCTACAAAAAAATAATACCGAATATACGGACTGGTCTTTATGGGTAAACATTATTTCGAATACCACATGGTTTTATCTTTGAGAAATGGGAAATCATGAACGCTGACACTTGAATGTGGACGAATGCCGAAAGAACCACGTCAAGCCACACGGGGAAATCACCTATCTGTTTACTCCGTTCCATCTCGGTAATTGCCTAATTTGACCCTCTTGGGATTCCCGTAACACCGCTACACTCAGTTTAGCCTTGCGGCGTATACCGAGTATCTCACTGAATTCGCAGATTTGTGAACTTAACGAGCAACCAGTACTGACTGCATCTTGAAATATGATCCCCTGTCACAACGGTTAGTCAATCCGATAGGTAAGATGTTAATATGTGCTTGATCTGTCAAAATATAAGTATTCCTAGCGACCAATCCCTTACGATCGTAAGCCAAAGAAATGTATGCCAGTTTACATGTACTACAGGCAGCTTTACCACCCAGGAGATTGATTGATTTCAATAAGTTGTGCGAACAATAGATCACTACAGTCATTGTGTCATTAATTTTGCCAATTTGAGCAACTGGAGCAATTATCTCTGGCACACGCACGTGTGGGCTTGTTGTCAAATTATAATATTATGTCAAACTACCGTCTTCTATAAACCTCATCCCGCTTACTGTTGTATCAATCACACAGAACTTAAGTTGAAAGATTTTATAAATTGTAAATATACGGCCATCGGTGACAATCTTTGTTTCTGTTAAAAATTGGAGATTTCATTTACTGTGATTATCAACAGTTGTTGTGGTTGGCTCTGAACATTTTGTATTTTCGGCATATGCCTGTACTATTTACATCCAGTACTTTCATTGGCTGTTGTATTTGTATACATGGATGAATATTCAATCAATGGAGGTTGTGATGTGATAAAGTTTAAAAAGAAATAGGATTGGGATTCATTTCTTGAACCTAGAACTTGTACTAAACTCAAGCGCAATTCCTGTACATCGCTCACGACGATTACATGGGCGCTCGAAGTACCCTACTGATGAGAAACGTCTCGCTTTAATCTGGTTTGGTTCGCGCTTGACAAAAAATCTGCTCTTAAAACGAAACACTCGGTAGCATCGGAAAGTACGTATTGTTGTCCAATTCAAAATTACGCTCTGCTAATTATACAGAACTGACGAGAAAAACATTCGCGATTTGAGATGTGCTGTCGAATCAAATTTTCCCTGACACATATAATAATGTGCTTTCGATTTATTGAACATCACACAACACCATCGAAACATTATACACAAACCAACTTTCTATGATAAAAATCTGTCAGCAATTGAATATTGTAATCTCATTGAGGCGCGATGGGAAAATATGACATCAATAGCGAACAGATCAGCATCATTTTGGGTGGCCACAACCAAAATGCACGTCACGGAAGCTAGTTATATTTTACCTGACTGATCGCAACTGTGGAAATTCAGTGACAAATTACAAACGCATCATATTGTGACCCGTAGTAAATTATGATGTTATTAGTCGTGTTCTCGTTATTACGTCAGTATTTCTTAATAATACATAGAGTGACCGCCTACTGGTGTGTCATCGTCACGTGCTGACAGCACGGTCACCGCCCACCGTAGTTGTCTTGAAAGTTTTGGTGTCTTTGTACATGCAGTCTGAATGAAATCAGCTGAAGCAAATGTGAATTCTAAATAAATACATTTCGTACAATATGGAAATCCACCTATACGGAGTCGTTTACTTATTTTTTTTTCAAATCGAGTGTGATAAAATTTTGGATCATAGTTTTACCAGACGACACTCTATAAGTATAATGTATTTACAAAATATTTGGTCTTGTTCTTATAGTTATTCATGGCATTAACCTCTCATGTCCGATTCTCGCGTGGCACTGGCAGACCATATCGACTATTTAGTAGTTTTCTATGAGTAATTTGTCACATACGCTTACACTGGTACATTGAGCATGCACATGTAAACACTATTTTTGTAAATTATAAAACAAAGTGCTACTTGGGGAATAAAAATACGTCTTGACATTAGATCGCACCCGCCGCTGTTATAAGGGAAGGTGAATTATTGACGAAATCTATCATTAGGATGGTGCAACATGTCCCATATTACCAATTGGCATACGACATGGTGCTCAAATTTGATCACTTATTTACCATCGATGTATAAGCTTCCGCCATCAAATGTATTCAAATGAATATATGGAATCTAGGCAGCCTTTCGCAACCGAAAAATAACTGGCCTGTTTCTTCATTTATACACGAAAGTTAAGTCGAGTTGGGTATAAGTTTAAGTTTGGATATAGCCTGTATGCAACCAACAGCGTAGCCAGCCCAAAATTTGGGAGAGGTGGAGGGGCAATGTTTTTCGTAGTGTGACGTAACGTAATACGATGATTACTAGTGCCTTTTGCACCGCACAAAGTCAAATAAAAGTAGCCACCGATATCTAACAATATCTTAAAGAATCGCTCTACAGACGTACTTCCCTGTATTAAACAAATAATACTTATGACATAACAATATAATATGCGCTCATTCACTAAGTGGCAAATCAATGATAAGACTTTCTCGACTAAACCAGAACGTGTGGTAAACCTGCATGGAACCTATGATTAAATGAAAACTAAGATAGACCATTGTTGGGAAATAAACCTGTTTGGTCGTATGAGTGGGAACTTGCGTTACTCTGTAGCCTGGTTTGTAGATTTGTCCTTGACATCTCCAGAAACCACATAAATAGGCACTTCTATTTTTCTGTTTGGTTTTCACATTATGCATGCAAAAGCCATTGAATTCCGACATCTTGCTGTGGCCACAGGGTTGGAAACCACCGGATAAATCACAGTTAGGTTGAAAGTCGCGGTGTAGGGGACGACTGAAGCTAAGATGGCTGATATTAAATGGCATTGCGTCTCTGAAAATGAAAAGGTACTTTATATGCTACTCTACTTTTATGCCTAGATTGTATATCTCACAACAGGGATCATATATAATAAAAATAACAAATAAAAATTGTCTCTAGTTTCATATCAAATCAAGTTCATGCCGCAGTTTTGCCTTAGGATAAACTATTGGGTGTAAAGTGTAAACACATCGCACATCGTCGTTTACACGAACTCGTTTGGCGCCTTCCACACACTACCGTAAACGAATGCGTAGTTCCAAAAAGCTAACCGTCACGCTTCTTTAGCAATTTAGTCCGGGTCAAACACTTGAACCGTTTTGTCAATAATCTGCCTTTACACGCGTGGTGTTGCAATGACGGTCTCATACATCTGTTAGTAGAGTATTTAGGCTCGATATTATTATAAAACACTCGCAAACCGAGCATGAAAGACTCATAGCACCAACTATATCTGCCTCAGTATAAATAACTGTTGCCAACTTAATGACTGCCAGAATCAGTGCGAATTTGGAAAACTGTACAAAGATCCAATCAGTAATAATAACAATAATGATCACCACCATCACTCAGAAGGATCATCAACAGATTTGATACTCGGCATGCATTACATGGATTGTCTTGAAATTTTTGTTTTCGTTTGTTGGTTTCGTATTTGTTAATATCAAAGGAGTGCTCAATATGGACGCCAATGACCGATGTATTTGTCATAGTTTCATACTCGCCAAATAAGGTTGACTTATCGATTTGCTGACCAACCATAGAAACAGGGACAACATATCTGTGCGAATATCCTTAATTTTAAGCATCGCCGCCAACTCAATAATGGTTTGACCACGCAATTCAGTGTATTTGTGAGCGATACACGACAACAGAATACAAGAGATTTAATTTAATTGATTGTTTAACAATGATTTGCGCCACTTTTATCCTCTGTGGAATCAAATATCTGAAGCGGTAAATGTTTATGCTATCAAAGAATGCGCTGTCATTGTTGGAAACAAAATACACTCCTCATTTGCTGCTGAGTTCGGCTTGTTATTGTTAATATATAGTTCTTCTGTGTAATTTGCGACAGTTATCAACCAGTTAATTATGTTTGTGAATTTTTATTATGTTGAGATAGAATACAGAATTTTGAGGAAATTATCACTGTTTACGTATATATGCTGTATATTCTGGTTATTCAAGTAATTATAGATTATGCACATACAGAAGCCAAATTTTCAAAACCTGTTTATTTCACTGCTGGGGTATTGGAGGTGTTGGCAATGGCTTTATTAAATTATATTGCAGGTATTTGATAACATACCACACAATCAATTTAAATTTGGCGCTAGATTGTCACAATGATATTGTTGATACTGAACGACAATATTTATTTATAGAACATGATTGTCAACTGAGTTATTGATTGATATTTTGATTTTACAATACTGCTGGAATGCAGCAAGCAGTCCACTTAAACTGTTACTTAACATCATCATGTGCAGACAGATTTTCCCAAAACATCCATTTCTAAAATAATGTTGACGTTTCGTTT